AATTAAGTCTTGTGGAATTCCCATTCTTCACAATGTTATCCATAATTTGTTGTACTCCACACAGTCAAATGCTTTTGCATAGTCAGTAAAACACAGGTAAACTTTTTTCTTGTATTCTCTGCTTTCATCCAAGATCCATCTGATACCAAAATGATAAACCTTGTTCCATGTCCTCTTCTGACTCTGACTTGAGTTTCTAGTAGTTTCCTGTCGATGTACTGCTGCAACTGTTTTTGAGTGGTCTTCAGCAAAGTTTTACTTGCTTGTGATATTAATGATACTGTTTGATAATTTCTGCATTCCTTTGGGTCACCTGTCTTTGGACTGGGCATAAATATGGATCTCTTCCATCCGATTGGCCAAGTTAACTGTCTTCCAAATTTCTGGGCATAGACAAGTGAACACTTCTAGTGTTGCATCCATTTGTTGAAACATCTCAGTTGGTATTCCTTCAATTCCTGGAGCCTTGTTTTTTGCCAGTGCCTTCAGTGAAGCTTAGACTTCTTCCTTCAATACCATCAGTTCTTGATCATATGCTACCTCCTGAAATGGTTGAACATTAACCAATTCTTTTTGGTACAGAAACTCTTTGTGTCCCTTCCATCTTCTTTTGCTGCTTCGTGTGTCATTCACTATTTTGCCTGTAGAATCCTTCCATATTGCAACTTGAGGCTTGAATTTTTTCTTCAGTTCTTTCAGCTTGAGAAATGCCAAGTGTATTCTTCCCTTTTGGTTTTCTATCTCGAGGTCTTTGCACATGTCATTATAATTCTTTGTCTTCTTGAGCCACCCTTTGAAATCTTCTGTTCAGCTCTTTTACTTCATCATTTCTTCCATTTGCTTTGGCTACTGTACATTCAAGAGCAAGTTTCAGAGTCTCTTCTAACATCCATTTTGGTCTTTTCTTTCTTTCCTATCTTTTTAATGACCTTTTACTTTCTTCATGTATGATATCCTTCTTGTCATCCCACAACTTGTCTGTTCTACAGTCATTAGTGGTCAGTGCGTCAAATCTGTTCTTCAGATGGTCTCTAAATTCAGGTAGGATATACTCCAGGTCACATTTTGGATCTCGTGAACTTGTGTTAATTTTCTTCAGCTTCATCTTGAACTTGCATATGAGTAATTGATAGTCTGTTCTGCATATGGTCACTGGCCTTGTTCTGACTGATGATATTGAGATTCTCCATCGTCTCTTTCCACAGATGTAGTCGATTTGATTGTTGAGTGTTTTATCTAGCAAGGTATGTGTATAGTCACCGTTTATGTTGAAAAAGAAGTTTTTCCAATGAATAGGTAATTGGTCTTGCAAAATTCTATCATGCGATCTCCAGCCTCATTTCTATCCCTAAGGCCATGTTTTCCAACTACTGATCCTTCTTATTTCCAACTTTTGCATTCCAATCACCAGTAATTATGAATGCATTGAAATCTGTTACATACCTGTAGGTACCTACTTTGAGGCTGATGTCAGGTGATTAATCAACACACTTTGGATCCAGTTGAGGATGAGGGCTCTGGAATCTGATGATCTGGACTGGAATCCTGGCTCTAAACACCTTCTTGCTTTGAGACCTTTGGCAAATTACTGATTCTGTTTGTATCTCTCTTTCCTCATCTGTTGATTAAGCCTAAATATAATAGCTACCTCATAAGGTAGTATCTTTTTCTTGTGAAAAAGTTATTAGTACATTTAAACTGTATAACATAGATCTTAGTACATCAAAAGTACTCAATAAATATTAATTATTAGCAAATCAAATCATATGATCATATACCTTACATTTTCCATATGTTTGCTATGTTGTACATAATGGCATTATCATAGGCACAATATCAACAACATTTCTCTTATTAGCTAAAAAACCATATAAAAAAACAAATAAGTTTGATGTGGCTTATTCTTAATGAGTCCATGCCTGCCTTTTAAGGGTACTTTGCTTGTTTGCTCATTGATTTTATAAAGCAATCCAAAATTATCTATTTGATCTATTAAGGAATTTTATAAAATATTGATGTCCAGCTCATGTTTCTATTATGTAAACATATTTATAAATAAATATAACTTTGCTGAGATCAACTGTGTATGTGCTTAGAGTATTCATTTATCCATTTAATCTCAGAAACTGCCTATGTGATTGAAAGACAACAGTAAAAGTATTTTCAGTTTTTCAGTGCCTTCTAGATGAAAAGAGTGTTTACTCTATGGGTAGTTCTCTTTTCTGCAGAGTCCCACATGGATTCCAGTGAATGATTCACACATTCTCTTCACATGCAAATGTGTATCAATGCTCTAGGGTCATTCTGGTCCTATTTATTCATTCATAATTATATGTATACTTTTCTTCGTCTGGGAAATGTATGACATAAACTTTGTGACAAGAATGTGTCAGTACTCTCTTGAGAACTGGGTGAAAGTGATAAAACACTTAAATCTCAAGGACTTAACCTTAAACTCTTGTTTTGTGATTTAAAAAAAAATTTAGGACTCTGAAGTTGATCCTGAGAAGTTCTCCAGTAGGATAGAGTGTGAAAGTCCAAACAACGACCTCAACAGATTCCGAGGCTTTCTGTGAGTGATATATGACTTGCTTTGTGGCTGTGAGCGAAAGTGTGTGTTGCAATTATATTTAAATCGAGAAGACTTTTGTCTGATTATACCCAAGTTAAGTCACCAAAGGCCATATGTTTAGCTATGAATTTGGCTTATTTTAATGACTGGATAAGTTTTTGTCAATATATATTTTAAAAATAATAATAGAAAAACAAAAAAAAAAAACCAAAAACTTTTTTTAAAAAAAATCCTAGAGTCTCTTTCAGTGCTGTAAGGATTCTTACGTGACCTCTTTATTAAGCCCAAGACTTCATTAGTTGTTTGGATGAAGGTGTTTAGACAGAACCAACAGCGTAAGTAACACTGTAAAATTGTGTCCTACTAAATTGAAGTAGCAAGTGGACAACTCTGTTAACAAAAGTAAGCCAATGATTTGGAAACATGTCTAAGACAGAGTATGGGAAACCATGACAGTCTTCATCCTTGAGGTTTCATGTGGTACCTACATCCTTTTTGCATGCAGAGCTGGAATTTGGTGTCTTATCTAGTTTCATTCCCAGCCTCTGTCACACAAGTACCTACGATCTTGAGCCAAGTTATTTATTCTCTCTGATCCTTTTCTGATTTTTAAGAGGAGGCTTAAATCATAGTGGTAATCTTGTGAAAAAATTGTAAAGGAGGGAAAAGTTCCCAACTCATTACTTGAGATCAGAATTACCCTGATACCATTACACTTAAGCCAAAAACAGACAACAATTTGACAAGAAAAGACCAATATCCCTCCAAACACTGATGTAAAAATTCTTCACAAAATTATAGCAAATTAAATCTAACATATGTAAAAAGGACTACATGGGATTTTTCCCAAGAATGCAGGGTTGTTTTAAATTAAAAAAAATCAATCAATACTCGGGGAACATCTAGCTCAATTGGCATAACACAGTTTATAAAGACAATGTTCTACATTCTACCTCGGTGAGTAACGTCTGGGGTCTTAAAAGCCTGTGAGCAGCCATCTAAGATAGTCCACTGGTCTCAACCCTTCGGGAGCAAGGGAGAATGAAGAGAACAAGATACAAAGAAAAGATTAGTCCAGAGGACTAATGGACCACAGCTACCAAGGCCTCCACCAGACTGAGTCCAGTACAGCTAGATGGTGCCCGGTTGCCACCACTGACTGCTCTGAGTGGGATCACAACAGAGGTTCCTGGGAAAAGATGTAGAACAAAACTCTAACTCACAAAAAAAAAGACCAGATTTACTGGCCTGACAGACTGGAGAAACCCCGAGAGTGTGGCCCCCAGACACCCTTTTAGCTCAGTGGTGAAGTCACTCCCAAAGTTCACCGTTCAGCCGGCGATTGGACAGCCTCATAAAACAAAACAGGACTAATAAGGCACAGCAGTCCAGGGACAAAGACTAGAAGGCAGGAGGGGACAGGTAAAGCTGGTAATAGGGAACCCAAGGTTGAGAAGGGGCAGTGTTGACATGTCATGGAGTTGTTAACCATTGTCACAGGGCAATATGTGTACTAACTGTTTAATGAGAAACTTTGTTCTGCAGACCTTCATCTAAGGTACAAAAAAAAAAAAAAGTATCTATGTGAGATCAGATTGACAACAGCAACTCAAAAGGTTTGATGGGAAGCCCAGGGGACAGTGAGTTTGAGATAATGGAGATGGAATAATTTGGAAAACGATAGTGAGAATAGCAGCATAACTGGAAGAATGTAGTTGATGTCACTGAATTGTACATGTAGAAACTTTTGAAATGGTGTGACTTTGGCTATGTATATTTTCACCAGAAAAAAGGTCCTCCAAGGTCGAGAAGGGAGAGTGTTGATATGTCGTGGGATTGTTAACCAATGTCATAAAACAGTATGTATACTGACTGTTTAATGAGAAACTATTTGTTAGGTTAACCTTCATCTAAAGTACAATAAAAAAATTTTTTTAAAAAATCAATCAATGTAATTCACCATATTAACAAACTAAAAGAGAAAAACCACAGGATCTTCTCAATAGATGCAGAAAAAGCATTTGACAAAATCTAACTTCCTTTTTATCAAATTAGAAATAGAAGGAAACTTTCTCAACTTGATTAAAGGGCCTTGATGTAAAATCTGCAACTAGCATCATATTTCCTGGTAAGGGCCTGAATGTTTTCACCTTAAGATCAAGGACAAGACACAGATATTCACTCTCAGCACTTTTATTCAAGACTGTACGAGAGGAAAAAAAAAAGACATCTAGATAAGAAAGAAGTAAAACTGTCTTTTATTCACATATGATGTGATGGTCTTTGTAGATGATCCGATGAAATCTACAAAAAAAAAAGCTACTACAGCTAATAAATTCATTTAGAAATGTTGCAGGAAATAAGCTCAACATACAAATATCCATTGTATTTCCATATACTAATGACAATCAGATATTGAAATTTAAAATCCAATAACATTTGCAATGGCATTAGAAAAATTGAAATACTTAGGGGTAAATTCTGCAGAAGATAACAAAAGACTCATACACTGAAAACCACTAAAAACTGCTGAAAGAAATTAAGACCTACATAAACGGTAAGATACTTGTTATTCACAGGTCAAAAGACTCAGTATTGTTAAGATGTCAGTCGTCCTGAAATTGACCTCTAGATACAATGCAGTCCCAATCAAAATCCCAGCAACTTTTAGAAATTGGCAAGCTTATTCTAAAATGCATATGAAAATTCCAATGACCTAGAATAATCATAACAACTTCGAAAAAGAAAAGCAAAGTTGGAGGTCTACCACCACCTGATTTCAAGACTTATTGTAAGGCTATGCTAATCAAGCTAGTGTGGTTTTGACATAAAGATAGACAAATATATCAATGGAAAAGACTATAAAGTCCAGAAATAGAGCCACCCCTTTATGGAGCCCAGGTTTTTGACAAAAGTGCAAAGGCAATTCAGTGGAGAAAGATTAGTTTTCAACAAATAGTGCTACAACCATTGGATATCTAAATGCAAAAAAAAAAAAAAAAAAGCCTTTTGATCCATGCCTCCCACTGTTTATAAAAATTAATTCAAAATGTGTCATAGACCTCAGTTTAAACCTAAAATTATAAAACTTTCAGAAGAAAACATAGGGGAAATCTTTGCTACTTTGGATTAGGTAGAGATATCGTATATATAACACCAAAAGCATAATCCATAAAAGAACAAATTGATAAATTAAGCTTCTTCAAAATTAAAAACTCCTGCTCTTCAAAGGACACTCTTAAGACAATGAAAAGACAAGCCACAGACTGGGATAAAATATTTGTAATGCATACATCTGATATAGGTCTTGTATTCAAAACATATAAAGAAATCTAAAAACAGGTGAATGGATAAACCAAAGTGTAGTACATCCGATGTAATACTACTCATCAATAAAAAGGAAGGAATGAGTGACACATGCAACAACATGAATGCATCTCAAAATAATTGTTAAGTGATGGAAACCAGACCTCCCCCCTCCCAAAAAGAAAGAATTCGTATTGTATAATTTGATTTATATACATCCCTAGAAAATGAAAACTAATTAGTGATAGAAAACAGATAGATGCCTGGGAAGAGGGGACAGAGAAGGTGAGAGGAAAAGATGACAAAGGGGCAAGAAAAAACTTTTGGGGATGATGGATATATTTACAGTTCTGATTGTGGTGATGGGTTCACAGGGAAATGTGTCAAAACTTAAACCAAATTGTATACTTTAAATATGCAGTTTATTCTTATTAATTATCACTCAATAAACTTGTTTAAAAAATTTAATGAGTAAGAGCTGTCAAAGAAGGAAATATAGGATATAATGGGAGCATCTCTGAGTAGCACCTGATACAAACTGGTGGAGAGGCAGGGAGCTATGCCATGGGAGGAGGAAAGGGGCTTAGTCCGGGTAAGGAGAAAATGTTGGAATTAAATCTTGAGAATAAGAAGATGCCAGGGATCAAATAGACTGAAGTTTATTGCTTAGAAAACAATTCCAATTTTAATGCTAAAATTAAGAGGCTATTTTCAAAATATGTGAAAAATATCGTTGTTGTTAGGTGCCATCGAGTCGGTTCTGGCTCATAGCGACCCCATGTAAGACAGAACAAAACACTGCCCGGTCCTGCACCATCCTTACAGTCATTGCTGTGTTTGAATCCATTGTTGCAGCCACTGTGTCAGTCTATCTCATTGAGGGTCTTCCTCTTTTTCGCTGACCCTCTACTTTACCAAGCATGATGTCTTTCTCCAGGAACTGGTTCCTCCTGATAACATGTCCAAAGTACATGGGACAAAGTCTCGCCATCCTTGCTTCTAAGGAGCATTCTGGCTGTCCTTCTTCTAAGACAGACTTGTTCATTCTTCTGGCAGTCCATGGTATATTCACTATTCTTTGCCAACACCATAATTCAAAGGTATCAATTCTTCAGTCTTCTTTATTCATTGTCCGACTTTCACATGCATATGAGGCAGTTGAAAATACCATGGCTTGGGTCAGGTGCACCTTAGTCTTCAAGGTGACATTTTTGCTTTTTAACACTTTAAAGAGGTCTTTTGCAGCAAATTTGCCCAAAGCAATACATAGTTTGATTTCTTAACTGCTGCTTCCATGGACATTGATTGTGAAAAACAGTTAACTTTGGTTGAAAAACATTACTTTTTGCTTATTTGTTTAAGCATTCCAAAGCTTTTGCTCTATATTTTTGCCACTAGAATAATTTAGTCGAGCTATTGTTTTGATCATTTTAAATTGTTTATTACGGAAATGTTCAAACATACAAAAGTAGAGATAAGTATAATTAACACCTACATGCCCTCACCCAGCTTTAACAATTTCAGCATTTTGCCAACTTTGTTTCAGCTATACTCCCATTTGCTTCCCTACACCTATATCACATCATTGCAGTGCAAGTACTTTACTATGTATATATAGCAGATAAGGACTCAAACAAATAAAAACACCATAGCACCATTATCACATCTAACAAAATTAAAAACAATTCCTTAAATATCATCTGCTACCTAGTCTCTGTTCAAATTTCTCCAATTGTCCCAAAAATGTTTGTTCGGTGTTTTTTTGTTCTAACCAGACTCAAAACAAAGGTTACGTATTGCATTTGGTTGATGTGTCTCTAAATTTTCCCTCCCAAGAAATTAGGTCATTGAGTTTATAGAATTTACCACATTCTAGACTGATTTGATTGATTCCTTCCTGGGTTAACAGTTTGTTTCCCCCGTACCATTCGTTTGTTGTAGAAGCCAGGGCATTTAACCTGCAAGGGTTTACCACATTTTAGATTTGGCCAACGACATCCTTGCGCTAGTGTTTAACATGTTTCTTTAGCCTTCTTTTTTCCTGTAAACTGTCAAGGGCCACTTTCAGAATCTGATGAAAGAAATGGATTCTTCCCCTAGAAAATGACAAACTTACATATATACATATACACAAGCACAAAATATTGCATAAAATTTCAGGGGCTTCACAGATCCCCTGAAACCACAGACCCCAGGTAGAGACCCCCTGATAGAGGCTTGATTCGTTTCGTCTGGAGCCGTGAACTGCCTGTCTCATAACATCAGGAGGCCCATGATGTGACTTGTCCCATTGTTAGTGATGTTAAGATTGGTGGTGTCATCCTTATCCTTTCAGTATAAAGTGCTCTGTCAGCCTTTCACTTGATGATTTTGGTATCTGCCAATTATCATTGCCTAGAACCCTCCTTGAGTTCATCGGGGCTGGAAATGGTGATTTTCTAGTTCTATAAAGAACTTTTTCCTCATCAGTATTAAACTATCTTGAAATACAGTTTGTACTAGAAAAGCAGAAGTATTGTCTTGGAAGATTTTTGAGCTTCTGTAATACTACAGGTTGATAAACAAGGAATAATAGTAAACAATAGTATTTAGAAACTTTTTTGTTTGTTTCCTAGCTCAAGCAGGTAACTCTGAAATAAGAAAATCAAATGGGCCAGAGAATCTGAAGTCATTCCTGTAAGATACCCAACTTATTACTTCAAGTCAAGGAAACTAGAGAACTGTGATTTTTATTTTTATGTCCCTACTCTTGCTGTCTTTCTTGTAGAGAACATTCCAACAAAGAACGCGTGGGTCTCAGTAAAGAAAATTTATTACTTAGAGGATGCACCATTAGAAACACAGAGGCTGTCGTGGGCATTGTGGTTTATGCAGGTTGGTTAAACTTTTGATCTTTTATCGTTGTCTCCTCTACGCTTTTCTACAAGTTAACATTTTTAGAAGCAGAAAGAAAATTTTGTCTTGATAAGCTTGATCATTGGTCTCTGTTTTTCTAAATCGATCTCAAAAGCAGACCAAACTAACAAAATATATTTTGTAACTGTGTTTTATTAAATTGTCTGCCAGAGAGATTTTTCCATATGATATTTGCTGCCTGGCTTGAATTTGTGCATTTTCTGACATTTTGCGCTTCCTGTGTAGGTCATGAAACCAAAGCAATGCTGAATAACAGCGGACCTCGGTATAAGCGCAGTAAATTAGAGAGAAGAGCAAATACAGATGTCCTCTGGTGTGTCCTGCTTCTAATTATAATGTGTTTTACTGGTGCATTAGGTAGGTAAAATTTGATTAGTTGCTAACATCTTTTCAGCAATGTATTAATTTAAAAGTAATTTATTTTCGAAATGATATTTATGAATGTTTGACTTCTATAAGAAAGCTTTTATTTGCCAATATTTTTTTCCTCACATCTTTAGGCCTGAAAAACACTAATGTTGGCTATATCCAATTACATATTGAAATAGTACCAAAGGGACCTGGGAAGAGATTTAAAGAGAGATCGTCAGGGGCAGGAGAATGCATAGTCTTTTGAATTTGAACTTGTTCCCCAAAACAAACTGGTATTCAATCAAAATAAATGTTCTAATACCTCTTTCTTTAGGAGTAAAGTTCTGTATCTGCATAACGTATATATACGTAGCATTGCTTTGATGTCTCTCCATTTTTTGAAAGGTCATGCAATCTGGTTAAGCAGGTATGAAGATATACCCTTCTTTAATATCCCCAAGCCTGATGGACATGTCATCTCACCCCTGTTGGCAGGATTCTATATGTTTTGGACCATGATCATTTTGTTACAGGTAATAGCTATTGAGCTTATCATAGAATGCTACTTACTCAGCTATATCCAGCTTCTCATCTCCCCCTTCCCTCACTTTTTTTTTTTTTTTTTGACTCCTTTAATTTTTTTGAATTGTTTGGTTCTTCTTCTTAGGTCATGATTCCCATTTCTCTCTATGTTTCCATTGAAATTGTCAAGCTTGGCCAAATATATTTTATTCAGAGTGATGTGGATTTCTACAATGAGAAAATGGATTCTACTGTTCAATGCCGAGCCCTGAACATCACTGAGGATCTTGGTCAGATTCAGTACCTATTTTCTGATAAGACAGGAACCCTCACTGAGAATAAGATGGTTTTTCGAAGATGTAGTGTAGCAGGCTTTGATTACTGCCATGAAGAAAATGGTGAGTGTAGAGTTTCATTTTTAGTAGTTATTTTCCATTGTAAAAATGTGTCATAATTTATGTAACTAATGCACCCTTTGTTTAGGTTGTTACCAGTCTCTTGCTGTTATAAAGTGTCGCAGTGAGAGTCAGTATAGCTAAACCTTTATGTGCATTCCTTGATCATAGATCTCTATTGCTCTATTGTCAAGAAGCATCTTGCAACAATAATGTTTCATAAAATACATGGTACATTGATTTTTGTATTCACTGCCTTTGTCGCATTTTAAATTTTATATTTGTAACATTTAAGAGGGCTAATACACGTCCTTTTAGCCCCTCCCAACCTAATCCCTGAGCGTATACACCCCTGCCCAGTAAGTACTTCTTTTCTATGGCCCCTCATGCACAGAAGATACTAAATGACTGAAAATCAAACGCTATCATGCCTGAACTGTAATTGATAAGGTCACTGTTTGTGAACCATGGAATATGGTGCTACTTCTAAAAGATGCTGACTTTGTCTGTGAACATTTTTCTACTGTTGATACCTCCAAAGCTTCTAGTCTCTTTTCTGCGGTGGTTTAAAATAAACACGTGTAAACACACACACACGCACACACACACTTTGAATGGGAAAGGGGGTGAATGGTGGGAGCCAGTTCTCTCTAGAAGTTAATTCTGACGCAGATTATTTTCACTGAAATGAAAACTATTGAACAGTATTATCTAAGTTTTAATGGCCAGTCCTTTCAGGATTTTCTAGCAAAAGTGTTGTATAGGTGATATTTCTGTAAATGTTGCTGCTTTGAAATAACCCCTTACACATATGCGGCTGTACTAAACATATCTGACAACAGAATTATACATTCAAAACCTTGCAGCGTAGAAGTGATTTCTATGGATTAGCAACAGAAGCAACACCTGGAGGTGTATTAGAAATGCAGAATCTTACACACCACTTCAGAGCCTCAATTTGAATCTGCGTTTTAACAAGATCCCCAGGTGGTTTATATGAATGTTGATTTTTTAAACACAGTTTTAAAAGACTACTAAAAGAGAATGACTTCTTTTAAATAAACTTTTTATTTTAGAGTAATTTTAGATTTACAGAGAAGATATTACCAAGGATTCTGGTATACCCCCAGGCCCAGTTTTCTCTTTATCTTATATTAGTGTAATATAAAGGTTGACAGTTCAAACCTACCAGAGTCTCTGTGGGAGAAAAGACGTGGCAATCTGTTCCCTTAAAGATTACAGCCTAGGAAACCCTGTGGGGCAGTTGTACTCTGTCACATTGGGTTGCTGTGAGTCAGAATCGACTTGATGGCACCTAACAACAACAACAACCCAATATTTAGATCCATTATTATTAACTAAAGTCTGTACTGAGCTCAGATTTCCTTAGTTTTTATCTAATGTCCTTTTTCTGTCCCAGATCCCAACAAGAATACCACATTACACTTAGTCATCTTTTAGGCTCCTCTTGACTGTGACAGTTCCTCAGACTTGTTTTGATGACCTTGACAGTTTTGAAGAATACTGTTCAGGTATTTTATAGACTGTCCCTCAGTTTGGATTTATCTGGACAATGCCTTTTTGATGAACAATTTGTGACTCTGATATATATATATGTAAGCAACACTGAATAGTTTCCGAGAACAAGGATTCTGGAATCAGACTGCCTGAGCCTAAATCGCATCTCCATTATCTATGAGCTGCATAACCCTGGGCAAGTTGTCTAATTTCTTTGTGCCTCAATAGAAGGGGGTTAATGATAGCAGGGTGGTTAAGAGGGTGAGAGGAGATAATTCATGTAAAAGCATTTGGAACAGAGCCTGGCACACAATAAGTTCTCTATAAGTATTAGCTGTACTGTTGTTGGTTTAATTATTGTTATTAAAATAAGAAATAGTCCTGGCTCTTAAGAAGTACATGGTCCAATGTAGTGGGCAGACGTGTAAGCATAAGATCACCATGTTAAGTTTTATATGATTAAAGTCAGTGTTCTTGTTCCTTATTATTTTGGTTTTCAGGCAGCTGGTTTTTGGAGATGGATTTTGCACTGATCAAGGTTTGGGCCCTTGAAGGCAGGATAATGAGCATTCTTGTTATGCCGGAAATATGGGGAATTAGTTTAGAGCTGAAGGTTTATGTGTCAAAGATATGTGGATGATACAGTTGGAGAATCTCAGCTGAGTGTGCTGTTTACAAGACAGGTGAAAGTCTGAATGCTGAAAATGTTTGAGTGATTAGTTCATAGCGGAAGTTTTATGTGGAGGCTAGGTGGCTGATACAGTTAAGGAAGCCCATCTGAGCGTGGTGTTCACCCCTATTTTTGGTCCTTTGGAGAGCACCCTGAAAAGTGTGGTAACTTTTTTTGTGTTTGTTGTTCTTCCATAATCTCATGTTCACTTCTTCCAGATATCAAATTAATGAATGTAACAGGCTATTGAGAGGATATTGGGTGTTTGAAGATGGGAATGGGAAGAGAAGACAGATTAGGGATTAAATAAGGAAGAAAAATAAAGTAGTTGACCCAGTACCAACTTAAGACAAAGGGAAGTTTTGAGAGTTTGTGTATTTTCTCTTACAAATGAGAAAGCAAGAATTTTTGTCCTACTTTGAGGCATTCATGGAAATTATTTGAACGTACTTTAAAAGAAATGTTAAAAGTCTTAATGGCCATTTGGATAGGTCTTGTTTGTCAGTATGACAGTAAACCCTTGCTTCTCATCCCCAATTTAAAAAAAAAAAAAAAAAAATTCACTGAGTCTAGAATGTAGCTCCAGTAGCTTTGTTTTCTGCATCATAGTGTAACTTTACTGGTCTATTTACTACTTTCAGCTTTCTGCTGAATGATTAAAGGTTGAGTCACTCTATGTCTTCTTGATTCTACTCTTGCTGTTCTACTTCCTGAGCAAGTTTGTTATACAGTAAGAGCTGAGCTCTCTGGCATTATACTAATTACATTGTTGCATGATGACTGATTTTCCTAATGATGGCTAGGATGGCTAGGAGAAGTTACAAGATCCCGATTCATGTTTACATGTGTTTTGTAGTACTCTGTTTATTTTTTAAAATTGTCTCATATATCAATGAATTTCTTGACCTACCCAAGGATTTCTCAACCTCAGTACTATTTGACATTTTGGGCTAGATAACTCTGTTGTGGAGGGCTGTCCTGTGCATTGTGAGGTGTTTAACATCATCCTTGGCTTCTACCCACTGAACACCAGTAGCACCCCACCCTTAGTCGTGACAGCCAAGTATGTCTACAGCCATTGACAAATGTTCCCTGGGGGGAAAATTTATCCTTAATCAAGAACCATTGAGCTAACCCATTATATACAGGTCACTGCTAAGGAGCTATAATGTAGTGGGTACGTGTACTGGCTTTGGAGTCAGGAAGACCTAAGTTGAAATCCTACTCTACCCTCAACTAGCTGTT